TGCCCACAAAACATGGATTCTTACTACCGCACGTGTTAGAGGATCTTTTTTCCTTAATTTAGCAACTGAATTTATCCACTTTTTCCTTATCAGGGCCCGGCAAAGAATTTTTTCTTCCGAAAACCCGCCGTTTTGTCGTGTAGCATTACATTTTTTTCTATACCTCGTGTACAGTTTATACATACGTGTACACGAGAAAATAAAAAGGTGCCTTCATCACTACAAAATAACCAGTCCATTCAGAGCAAAGCGCGAAAATAGGAGTGACCAAAATATTATAAAATAATGATGGATATACTTGTATTACTTATTTGTAGAATATGATTTTAAAAATGGACAATTTCATTTTTATTTCCTTTTTCCTATGCTACTTACGTAGTATAGAAAAAGTATTGTAATGTTGAGGCAAAAATTGGTAACTTTTTGACAGGAAATGTCATTTTGCGGGTTCCTTATTCCGAAAATTTGAATAATTTCTTTATCAATATGTAGTAAATAACTTTCTCCAACACGTTGGGTAGTCAGACTCTTCGTACAGTGGTTCCAAGATACCGAAATATTGGTTTTAGGCGAAACGGCCGACCGTCTGACCGTTCGCTCGTCAGTCTGCCTGTGGTCAACGCTGCGGTCAAAATTAAAATTCCTTCATCCACCTGGCGAAACTCGAAGTCCTGCGAGTTTCAATCGGACGATTTGATTCATGACGTTATTTTACACGATGATTTAAAATTTGAAAAGAAATCCAAATTTTCCCTCGGATAGAGAAAAAGACTTTTCATGCCATGTCAGTTTTTTGACAAAATATATTAATTTTCAAAAATTGTAAAAGTTCAAAATTTTTATATGCGTCGTCCTACAACTAGAGTATTGTAGATAGAAGTTTTTTTCTTACAAAAAGTTCATGTTCCAAAATATTAGATCTTTAAATAGTGCCATGCGTATTTTTAAAAAACGGGAGTTTACTTTAATAATTGTGGTGTAAAGACAATTTATATTTTTCTTAAGAACAATTCAATTTGTTCTTTAAACTTTCCCTCAGATAGAGAAAACGAGGCTAAAAAAGTCGCACAGGTCTCATTTTCATTGAACTCTACAAATCCGTATAACTAAGAAGTTAGATCACACTTTTGGAAATAATAAGAATCTTCCAAAATATTATTTGCCCTTTGCGTTAAAGTGTCCGGATTCGCATACATGCTTCGAAATCCCACCCGCGAGACGCAGATTATAGGCAAATTTGAATGAATGGCCAAACGCAGCCAGTATGGTCGCATTTTCGAGATTAACAACATTTAATGGACAATTTTGTTCTCTTTGAAATGGTATATTAGTATGTAACGAGTAATTAGGCAGAAATTCATTTTTTCAACTATTGGTCATTTTTCGATATTTTTCCTCAGTGTACGAAATTTTGTTTGTTGTTCTTGCCTGATCCTACCCACTTAGGAATCGTTCAATCATCAACGAAATTGTATGGTGGTATTCAGAGAGACCAGTCATAAATTACACGAATTATTTATTTTCGATTCTGATCCTCATTCACTAACTCGTACAATTGTCAACACTAACTAGCGAATAAAGTTGTTATTATGCAGCAGCCACCGCTCAGGCTGAATTTCCCGATATTACTTACGCAACGATACACGTTCCTCTCCGACCCGGTCAGACCCGACTGCCCGATCGAATTCATTCTCACCTATGGCAGCCGGGGGGCACACGTCTGCTCTGCTCCGACCAAAATTCGCAATTTCGCTGGAGGTAACATTACATTCACATTGGAGTTGGCGTTTTTTTTTCTTGATTAACAGTTTAGAGATCAAGAACTGCCTTAAGGGGAACATGTTACATACTTTTGGGATTGTTTCTGCGAGTTAGCAATCTATTTTTGTGAAATTAGAATATTTTAATAGTTTTACAGTGACTGAAAGAAGATATCACTAAGCTACTGTTGTCCCATGTGGAGTGATGAGACTCCTGGAGGAAAGAAACCCCCACTAGGCGTCATGTAGGTTGGAGCCGGATCTCATGTTCTAAAAGGGGGACACCGCCACCTTCGGGACTATAACATGTACTATACTTACATGAGTAACCATTTAATTAGTTGATGCACTCGTAATTAATAAGCGTACAATTATAAATAGTAGTTTCTTTGAAGACGTTGATTGCACCTCACGTATTGTGGAACGGGAGAGCGGCCGGCAACTTTGTAATATACAGAATGTCGCTAATAATGAATTACCTCTCCTCTTGACTTCGATTGATTGATTAATTGAGGAGTGTTTCTGGACGCGTCAACTGCTAAAGGCATAGTCCCGTAAGTGCAGTGCGTGTTTTAGAGCGAGAGATGGCAGTGATCATTTCCCGCTAGCTGGCAAGATCCGGTGTTTATCGCCTGGCGTGGTTTTCCCCAAGGTGTCTCCCACCAGGGCTACACCAGCCTTACTGGGGCTACACCAGCACAATCTAAGCTTAGGTTTGCCTCTTGGCATGGGTGCTATGGTAGGGCATGTGAAGGTAAGTGTGTGAAAGTAAGAGTAAGAATAGGACAAGAAAGAGGGAGAAATATCGGTCACGGTTTTTGTTAGGACACTGCTCTGACATTCGCCTGGTATTGATGTGAGAAACGACGTAAAGGTACTGATCAAAGCAGCCTGCCGCTAGAATTCTCCTCCAGGCAACGCCTTCATTCGACTTGGCTATGTTGCTGAAATGGAAAATTGTGCCGCACCGTCGACTCGAACTCTAGGACCTCCCGATCAGAGACACTGTAGTGTCATCAATTGATAGAGTGAGCCCTTTAAGACGGTTTTTGCTTCAAAGAGTGCGTAGTGTAGTGCTAAGTGATCGAATGTCAGTACAGAACATCCCTAATAATGAATCGCATCTCGTCCTTTTGGCTTCGATGGTGTTGTGTTGTGTTGTGGTTGAGAGTGAAGCATGAACCGTGTGTGTGCATGTATGTGTGTCGCAGCTCGCGCATCGTGGAGACGGGAACGGTTGCAACCTCGTAGTATACTGAATGTCGCTAGCCATGTATTGCCTTATGTCCTTCCTGGCTTTGCTGAGCGTGACGGCAGTGCCTTGTGCGCGTGTGCGCGTGCCGCAGCTCGCGCATCGTGGAGACAGGAACCGTTGCAACCTCAAAGTATACTGAATGTCGCTAGCCATGTATTGCCTTATGTCCTTCCTGCCTTCGCTGAGCGTGACGGCAGTACCTTGTGCGCGTGCCGCAGCTCGCGCATCGTGGAGACGGGAACCGTTGCAACCTCAAAGTATACTGAATGTCGCTAGCCATGTATTGCCTTATGTCCTTCTGCCTTAAAGCTGAAGCGTGAGCGGCTTAGTACCTTGTGCGCGTGCCGCAGGCTCGGGCGGCATCGGGTTGGAGGACGGGGAACGCGGGTTTGGCAACCTCAAAGGTATTACTGAATGTCGGCTAACCATGTACTTGCCTTATGTCTCCTGTCTTCGCTTGCGCGGTGGGACGGCAAGTGCCTTGTGCCGCGTGCCGCAAGCTCGCGCATCGTGAGACAGGAACCGTTTGCAACCCTCGCAAGTATACCTCGAATGTCGCTAAGCCCAATGTATGCTTATTGTCCTTCCTGTCTTCGCTGAGCGTGAACGGCAGTGCTTGTCCGCGTGCCGCGCTCGCGCATCGTGGAGACGGGAAGCAGTTTGCAGTACCTGCAACGTATCTGAATGTCGCTAGCCAATGTATTGCCTTATGTCCTCCTGTCCTTCGCTTGAGCGTGACGGCAAGTGCCTTGTGCGCGTGTGCGCGTGCAGCAGCTCGCGCATCGTGGAGACGGGAACCGTGCAACCTCGAAAGTAAATACTGAATGTCGCTAGCCATCGTATTTCTTATGTCCTTCCTGGGCTTTCGCTGAAGCGTGCACGGCTGTTGCCTTGTCCGCGTGTGCGCGTTGCCGCAGCTCGCGCATCGTGGAGAGCAGGAACCGTTGCAACCTCGAAGTATACTGGAATGTCGCCTAGCCATGTATTTTCCTTTATGTCCTTTCCTGGGGCTTCGCTTTGGGGAGCGGGTGGACGGGCACGTGCCTTGGTCCGCGTGTGCGCGTGCCGCAGCTCGCGCATCGTGGAGACAGGAACCGTTGCAAACCTCGAAGTATACTGAATTCGCTAGCCATGTATTCCTTAATTCCTTCCTGGCTTTCGCTGAGCGTGACGGCTGTGCCTTGTCCGCTCGTGTGCGCGTGACCGCAGCTCGCGCATCGTGGAGACAGGGAACGTTGGCAACCTCGAAGTATACTGAATGTCGCCTAGCCATGTAATTTTCCTTATGTCCTTACCTGACTTCCGGCTGAGCGTGACGGCAGTGCCTCGTCCGCGTGTGGCGCGTGCCGCAGCTCGCGCATCGGGTGGAGAACAGGAACCGTTTTGCAACTCGAGAGTATAACTGAATGTCGCCTAGGCCATGTATTCCTTAATGTCCTTCCTGGCTTCGCTGAGGCGTGACGGCAGTGCTTGTCCGCGTGTGCGCGTGGCCGCCAGCCGCGCATCGTGGAGAACACGGGAAACGGGTTGCAAACGCTCGAGTATACTGAATGTCGCTAGCCATGTATTTTCCTTATGTCCTTCCTGGCTTCGCTTGAGACGTGACGGGCTAAGTGGCCTTGTTTCCGCGTGGTGCGCGTGCCGCAGCTCGCGCGCATCGTGGAGACAGGAAGCCGGTTGGGCCAACCTCGGAGTATACTGATATGTCGCTAGGCCATGTATTCCGTTATTCCTTCCTAGGCTTCGCTGAGGCGTGACGGCAGTGGCTTGTCCGCGTGTTGCGCAGTGCCGCAGCTCGCGCATCGTGGAGACGGGAAGACGGTTGCAACCTCAGGAGTATACTGAATGTCGCTAGCCATGTATTTCCTTATGTCTCCTGGCCTTCGCTTGAGCGTGACGGCTGGTGCTCTGTGCGGCGTGTGCGGTGCCGCAGCTCGCGCACATCGTGGAGACGGGAACGGTTGCAAACCTCGGAGTATAGCTGAATGTCGCTAGCGCATGTATTGCCTTATGTCGGCTTCCTTGGCTTGCTGAGGGTCGTGACGGCTAGTGCCTTCGTCCGGGTGTGCGCGTGCCGCAGCTCGCGCATCGTGAGACGGGAACAGTTGCAACCTCGGAATACTAATTCGGCTAGGCCAATGTTATTTGCCTTTATGTCCTTCCTGGGTCTTCGGGCTGGAGCGGACGGGCAGTGCCCCGTCGCTGTGCGCGTGCCGCAGCTCGCGCATCGTGGCAGACAGGGAAAACGTTGCAACCTGAAGTATACTGAAATGATCGCTACGCCATGTAAATTTCTTATGTCCTTCCTGGCTTCGCTGAGCGTGACGGCTGTGCCTTGTCCGCGTGTGCGCGTGCCGGTGCAGCTCGCACATCGTGAGACGGGAACCGTTGCAATCCTGCGAAGGTATATCTGAATGGTTCGCTAGCCATGTATTTCCTTAATGTCCTTACCTGGCTTCGCTTGAGCGTGACGGCAGTTCCTTGTGTGCGTGTCGCAGCTCGCACATCGTGGAGAACGGGAACCCGTTGCAACTCGAAGTATACTGAATGTCGCTTTAGCATGGTATTAGGCGCTTATTGTCCTTCCTGATTCGCTGAGCGTGACGGCAGTGCCTTGTACGGCGTGTGCGCGGGGTGCCGCAGCTCGCGCATCGGTGGGAGGACGCAGAGCGGAGCCATTCCGGGGGCGTGGATTCTGGAGCCCGGTCGCGCGCACTGGACCCCGTTGAGGCGTCCGGGGCGTGCCGTAGCGCCGCGCCGCCCGTGGGGCCGCTGCGCTACCGCCCGCCCGAGCCGCCGCCGCCGTGGGCGGGGCACGCGCCTCGCCGACACCTTCGGCGCCGTGTGCCCGCAGCGGCCGCCCGACGTGGCCAACCGCACCGCCGCCCTGCAGCGCATGCCCCGCGGCCGCTACCTGCAGCTGCGCCGCCTCGTACCGCACCTGCGCCAGCAGAGCGAGGACTGCCTCTTCCTCAACCTCTACGTGCCCGGCAGCGGTCAGTACCCCGCTCTCATCATATTCTTCTTGCTTTCTAGCACGCTGGACTGAGATTTATTAACAGCTGCCTCTGACAGGCCACCAGCTGTTATGGTATGGGAACTTGCACATCACTGTCTATGGTGTCGTTCAACCTTCGGATTGGATGACTCAGAACTACTGATTTATGTCAGAGGCAGCTTTTAATAAAACCAAGTATACTTGCGTAGTATTTTGCTTTCTCGCATGCTACTCATGTAGTTCATTACTTTCCCACATACGAGTACTACAGGGCGCCAGGACAGTCTCTCCTAAAATATGTGATGTAGCTTCACTATTAGTTGTCTTCCATTACAGACAAGTGTGCATCCGGAGTCCAACGCTTAAATTTTGATATCATTGGTGTACTTGGCCGTTTTCATAAACTAATCAATTGATCTAACAAATGACACTCATGTGCATTAATTTAAACTTAAATATTATTCAACCACATGCTCTGAATTTTCTGTTCAAAAATGCCCACTGCATTAACAGTTACAAATGTTTATTGTGCTTTTGTTACATTATGCAACTTCAAACTCTTACCGAAAACATTGCTTCAAACCATGTAATCCGACGATATCTCAATAATCAAAACAATGACGTCACCAAGAGAATTTTTAGTTCTTTGCTGAAGACACCAAATTCCAAACTGAATAACTAAAAGCGGGCACTCTTGGCGTAGACATAATTACAATGTCAATTATAAACATTTCGGAGTTTGCACTTGAAACAGACTGCTTAGGCGCCCTTGGCTCTGTATATACGGGCAACTAGCAGAGACTCGCCATTTACACAATTAATAACTTTCTCTTCACAATGCGAAGAAAGTTCATTTGTGAAAGAATGAAGGTTTCAAATGTTTCTAAGTTACAAAACCTCTCGATACATAACATTAAACATATACACTTCATCAGAGGTTTTCAAACTTGAATGTGAAAGGCTTGTTGAATTAGTACTCTTATTTTCAAAACATCATTACTCACTAAACTTCAATCCTCAAAATATTTACATAAATATTACAAGCTTAAATGGCATGTAGATGTGTCTAAAATAATCTGATCATTTTTTTGATAATGAGCATGAAGTACAACAGTTACTAGTGTATATAAAACAGATCATTTTGTACCAAAAATATTTTAAAAAAGGTGCTGTTTATTAACGCATCACATAAATGGTCAATATTTCATGGCGTGAAACCTTTTCCACAGAGCCTTGCTGTTGCATGACATCACCTGTGTCGAAATAATTGTCACACTGAGTACTGGGATTCACTGTACGCACATTATGAGTGTGGACGAAATGACGCAATCAAACTCGAAACGCATTTTTCGCATTTTTCAATCAAAATCGAAACTCTTGCATTGTTGTTTTTCGAGTTCCTTCTACTATAGGTACCTCTCACGTAGCCAAAAACTGTATACGTTTGTAATCAATTTAAATCTGCAACAATTCTTCCGAAAAACATTTTACTTTTCAGCCTTGTTACATAAATATTTCTCTAATTTATGATCGAAATCATTTGCCAAAAATAAATGGTAAAAATAGTTCATAATTTTAACTTTATAATTCAACGAGTATATTAATTATTAACATAATATAGGTTGTATTTTCCAGCATTTGAAAATAAGTTTTAAATTTGAGAAATGATAAGTATTTTGTGCCATTAATGAGTATCAAAAAATATGCTGATGATTCTTATTTCAACATATTTACTATATCAGCAAAACATAAAAAGCAAATGTTCTTAATGAAAATATTCGTAGAAGAACTCCCCCTCTCAAAAAAAGCATTTCGTATAAGACAAGCGTACGAACTTCAAATGTTGTTTGACGGGATTTCGTTTCGATGACACATCAGACAACGCTGAATTGCAGGATTAGGAGGCTTAATTACGGGAGTCTGTACACAAACCTAAAACGGTACTTCCTAATTCTGTCAGCAAGGGAGATGGGAAGATTAACTAGGAGCAAAGTTGGGAAGAGACCTGAGGTAAACGTTACTCGCGTACAAGATACGCCGCATGTCAGCTAATTACAACTGGTGTAGATTATAATCGAAGTAAGAGAGAAGGCAGACATAATGAATGAGAATTAACAAGGTAATATCTTGAACACTGGGTGACATATTATCATAGAGATCACTTTCATTTGAATTGGAGTGAGTGAATGATTGATGAATTAATAAAATAATAAATTAGGAATGCGAGTATTCACGAGTACAGGAAGCTTGTGTAAGGAGAGATGAGGGAATGATTGGAAAACATTAGCTTAAGAAGAATTTACATAATGGTAGATATTGGTGCAAAATGTAATTCACATGTAAAACGAAAAGGATACACACTGCAAAGACCATGTTACGTCCCTCAGAATTGTATTCCAAATCCGCAGTATTCAAAACGTTTCAGTCTATAAGTCTGCATTCACCGAAAACACTTTAATTAATATGTGTTACCTCAGCCACAAAGCAGCATGAAGATGTTCTTTCTGCAATAAATTAATTGATTAGTTTGGTAAAATAACACAATTTATTTGAATTCCGTTATTCGATGGTGATTCTCGAATACATAGAACTGGAGTGAAGAAACTAACTTGTTAATTTATATCTGCTCTCACATTTTGACTGTTTTGACTGAATTTTGAGTACTGACGCGCACTTTACACATCAAAATCCATATTTTAAAAAATTCTAATAACTTTAATTACACAAGTTACTTGTAAGGTTTACAGTACATTCCTTCAACTCTGGCCGTAATTCAGACCAGCTAAATCCGCCCAGATGTATTAAAAATTTTTGTTTTCATTACTTCTGGCAAATATAGAACTTCGCAAAACTCCAGATCATTTTCAATCTACGTGGCAGACTGATTATTGACTGATTAAGTAGGATTCGGGGCGCGTCAACTATTAAGGTCAATAGTCCCGTAAGTGCAGTGAATGACTTCATCACGGGAGGTGGCAGTAATCTCCCCCCCCTCATGGCTGGTGAAATCCGGCACCACCCTACATCGCCATGCGGAGATTTTCCTCAAGCAGGTATCTCCCACCAGCCCCATCTCGTACAAGGTTTAAGCTCCCGTGTGGTCTCCTGACAAGTGTGATAGTGTACTGTGAGTATAAGGTATGTAAGTTAGATGTGAGGATAGGACAAGGAAGAGGAAGGCGGTCTGTGGCCCGTTTGTTAGGGTATTGCTCCGGCATTCGCTTGCTGTTGATCGGAGAAACCATGTAAAACTAGCGATGAGATCAGCCGTTCGTTTGAATTATTCTCCAGACAGCTGCTGAATTTTACCTTGCTATTCAGCTAGTATTGAAACACTTACGTTATTTTATGCCTTGAGGCACCATCGGCGGTCATAATTATTACATTATCATTAACTATATAGTTCTTAAATATAAACATTGCGGAACCCTGCACCAAAATGGACAATACTTGAGTAAGGGTTATAAGAGGAAGAGTAAGAAAGCAGCCACGACGTCGCCACACTGCAGATATAGGACGCATCGAAGACGATCGGCTGCTGATTGATGGTGTTGTCAGGATGGCTCCTTTCCGGCGTGGGGCCTACGCCGCACCGCCCCA